CGAGTTATCACAATGATGTGTGAGTGTTGTCTCGATAATGTCAAGGTGGACATTACATAATATCCCTAGGGAGAATACCATAAACAATGTGCCAATGCCTGTAGACTATTTGCGATGGTTGATTAAAAGCATTCATTGTTGGAGAAGCAAGTGGCAACTTTATTGCATGGCCTAGGGTTTGCTTTTATAGAAGATGAAGAACAAAATTGAGGATAGGTTTTCTAGTTACCTATTTATATATATATTATCTATATTGGTCCTAACTATTTAATTGGTGCATAGTCTTAAGGGAAGAGTATTGCTAGACAATCAGGCTAGTTAATTTAATTGGTGTGTAGTCTTAGGGGAAGAGTATTGCTAGACAATCAAGCTAGTTATCCAAGGTTAGGCAGTCATGCTAGATCATTTTCCAAAAATCTATTAGAGTGTGCTTGAGGCATATGCAAAATTGTTTACTAATTCCATGGTACTTAACAACTTCAACCAAAACATGTATGGCAGAGAACAACAAGATATGACTAGGGTTGAAATGGTCAACAAAGTCATCAAACATGTTTCAATCAACCAAAGTGTGGTCCACTTTTATATGAGGTACATATTCTTTAGGGAGAATGGCATTAAGGGCCCTAAAAAGTAAGAATTTTACAGATAAGGCCTAATAGATTCTGAAATTATTCTGAGAGCCTAAAGGCCTCATTTGCAATTATATTTTCTAGTGAAATGACCAATTTGTCCCTCCCATAACCAGCTGCTGAATGAAAATTTCTTCTTCTTCCTCTGTTCTTCCTCCCTCTTCGTTCTCTCTCTTCCTCTTTCAACACTAATGCAATAACCAAATTCATTTTCCTCCCCATCATGCTTCTCTATTCCCTCTCTTCTTCTTACTCCTTCTTCCTTCTTTCTCTTATTTGAAGCTTTTTTGTTCAAAAGGTATGAGTGGGCCTACTTTTATCTAGATGGGTATGGAGAAGACGACCAGGCATTCATTCGATTACATTCCTCTCACGCCAACCAGCTTCTTGAAACAGTTCGCCATAGTGTGGAAAGAATGGATCAAGTGCTGCATCTGCCATTATTAGTTTTGTTTTATCAAAAAAGGATATAGAGAGAGTTTAAGCCATATCAGTTTTATCTAATCATAATGTACACGTTCACATTTATTTAATCAAAACAAGTCATTATTTATAGACTTTTTGTCATTTCTGATACATATTTTTCTACAACTGATATAAATGTTCTAGTGTAGATGTTGTATATGAAATTTATGTTGTTATTTCTGGAGTTTACTTTGTACAAACTTTGCAATTAACTTGTGCGGATATTTATGTATATCATATTGACAAACCTTGTATTGTAAATATATGGACATTTTGTTGTTAGTAAATAGATACTTTTATGTTATATATAGACCTTTTGTTCTTCATAAACTTGAGAAACTTTTTCAAATGTTCAGTTTAATCACACAAATCATGTGAAATAAATCGACATTGTGTTGTTAATAAATGCACCTTGTCATGTTATATATATACTTTTTATTGTTCATAAACTTGAAAATTTTTTGTTAAGCCTAGCCAACTGATAAACTAGACACACATAGACTTTCAATTTAGAATTTATGAAGAATGTGTTATGCATGTCGGATATTGTGTTGTGCATTGTTTGCTTGCTTGTGCATTTTGTCAAGCCTAGCCTACTAATAAAGTATAATCTTATAAACTTTTAGTTGAGAATAAATGAACCTTATATTGTGCATAATGGATATTGTGTTATGCATTGTTTGCCTATTTGTGCATTTTGTTAAGCCTAGTCTACTGATAAAGTAGAATTGTATGGATTTTTAGTTGAGAATATATAAACTTTTTGTTATGCATGTCGGATATTGTGTTGTGCATTTTTGCTTGCTTGTGCATTTTATCAAGTCTAGCCTACTGATAAAGTAGAATCTTATAGACTTTTAGTTGAAAATAAATGAACCTTATCTTGTGCATAGTAGATATTATGTTATGCGTTGTTTACCTATTTGTGCATTTTGTTAAACCTAGCCTACAAATAAAGTAGAATCATATGAACTTTTAGTTGAGAATATATGAACCTTATGTTGTGCATAGTGGATACTGTGTTACGCATTGTTTGCTTACTTGTGCATTTTGTCAAGCCTACGCTACTGATAAAGTAGAATCTTATGGACTTTTAGTTAAGAATAAATGAACCTTATATTGTGTATAGTAAATATTGTGTTATGCATTATTTGCCTAACTTCATTACTTTGTTAAGCCTAGCATAATGATAAATTGGAATCACATAGACTTTTAGGTGAGAATATATCACAAATTTTTTTCTTGCAACTGTTTTTAACTAGCCGTCCTCCCGGGAGGCCAGGAATAAGGAGGATAGAATCTTCTTATCGAAGATAAGAAGATTTATCATTGTTCAAGATGTGGGAAGGCCGGACACAGTCGCAAGACATGCAAGAATCCTCACCCAGCATGAGAAGTGGTTATATTGTACTTCTTTGGTGTACACAAGCAACTATAATTATGTATATGAAAGCATTTCCAAATGATACTTTTTGGGTAAGTAGGAATGAAAAATATTTTTTTTTGTATATGGAGAAGCAACTATTAGATATTTTGAATATAGTGGCTAACTTTATATATATATATATATATATCAGACTTGAAATATTGCGTCAACTTTCTTGTGGGTACTTGTTTTAGTACCTAGGCTAATACCAACATGAAATTATTTATATATGATGTAATTATCCTTCTTAATATTAGAAATGCATAGACTTTCTGTTGAGCATGTGTGGACATCCTCTTTGTGCATAGTAGATGTTGTATCATGTATGGTCTGCCTAACGTCATTTTGTTATAGCCTAGGCTAGTGAAATATTAAAAATGCATGAATTTTTAGTTCAGCACACGTGGACATCGCATTATGCATGGTGGATATTGCGTCGTACATGGTCTGCCTAGTCATTTTTGCTAAGGCCAAGGCTAGTAAAATACTTGAAATGCATGGACTTTCTGTTGAGATGTGTGGACATTATCTTGTACATAGTGAATGTTATATCATGTATGGTCTATTTCGTTGTTTTGAGAGTTCACGCAGGTTCTGAATTTAAATCAAACAAAGGGCAAAATCATACTTTTGGTCTAAAAAAATTGGCAATAAGGGCCTCAAGGCCTATAGAGCAATATCATATTCATTTAGATCCAAATTGCAATAAAGTCCATTTTTAATGCCTTAATGCCATTTCTCCTATTCTTTACATGACCTTCTACTTTATTTAAACTTAATATAATAATTTTTTTATATTTTCATTTAGGTACCTATATGAAAATGTTATCTTCCTTGGTGATTTTTCATTGAAGTTTGTCTTTTTTTGTTCTTATAATGTCTCTACTCATCGCGATATCACTACTGAGGCACGGCACTGATTATTCATATATTTTACACAGTTTTACCTCTCTTATCTTAGCTTTTTAGCACTTGTTTTGATATAATTTGAGATAAATGAGTAATATTTGTGGTAAAAGAGCAAAGAAATATTTTTAGGAAATTTTTCAGGATATATTAAATATTTTTCCAGTTTTTTATTGAATATTATTTTTTATTCCCTAAAATTCATTTTCTATTGATTTTATTATTATTATTATTACTATTATTATTATTATTTTTGTAGGTGGTTACATGGAGAAGAGAAGAAGAAATTTCCTATCTTACCCTTCATTGCTAGTTAGCTTTTCCTAATTTTACTTTCCCATTTACTTTCTCCTTTTCTTCCCATAAATATCTCTATTTGGAAAAGTTATTAAATAATTGATTTTCTATGATTTACCAAAACCACGTGATATTCCAATCTCGAGATAGGTGTTCACATAATCAAATCCGAATCATGAGAAGGAAGATGAGGATCATTAGATATTGACACTCATTTTATTTTATTTTACTTTATTTTGGCTGGACGTATGCATGAGTTGTGGACCCAATATCAATATATTTATCTCCTTATCTCTGTTATATCAGGATCTCTCCTTTCTCGCAGACGCATCTTCCACTTTTACTCTCAGCCTCTGCACGATTTCCCCAAAAACACTCCACTTCAAACCAACTGAATTCATCTCCTTCACATGTGATTCAAATCCTCTCATCCCTTTTGATCATCGTCCTCTCCTTTCATCAAATCACACATTTTAGTTCAAGCTTCCATGGCTGAACGTGTTCAAGGTTTTGGAGATGGGTTGGTGCTGAAAATGCGTGGCTAGAGGTTCAAGATTTCTTGGGGCTTGATGGATGAAGATTGAGTTCATGGACTTCAATGGCTAAGGATTTCTAGACTCTAGTTCCTTTTAATTTTTCTTTTCATAGTTGAATTAGTGCAGTTGTAATGTTGCACTTAAGTGTTTTATTAAATGCCTTTGTCATTTTAATTGAGGATACTTGTTATTGAGTTGATTGGTTGCTAGAATTGTTACTTAATTTTTAATTTCAATGATTAATGCATAGTTGTGATGAATTATTGAGTGTTCTTAGCATTAGCAATTATATAGTTACATTGTGAAGCCTTGACAAGTTCTAATTGAGATTAATTTAGAATTAATTCTTGGTTAGGCATTGTTTTAGGCACTATTCTAAGACAATTAATCAACCAATAACACATTGAGAGCTTAATGACGCTAATTTAGTTCATTACATGAGTATTAATGGTTAGGCTTGCGTGTGTGACTTTGTTATCTATGTTTGGGATAGTCTTGAATTACACTTGGCTAATGAGTGTATTTTCTTAGCAATTTAATTCTTGAATGAGGATTTCTTCACCATCATACTCCTTGGGATCACTTTTGTTCATTATTAAAAATACATTTTCATTTGTTCACTCATTTTCTTTTAAAGCCAAAAATTGCATAAACATTAGTTAGGATTTTAATTTATTTTTTTTATAAAATTAATCAAACCAAATTTCATTGTCATTTATAGCACATTTGATAGCCATTCTTAATCAATTTTTAATCCAACTCACTAGGGGATTCGACCTAGGTTGTGCTCTATACATATTAGGATGATTTTTGGTTTTAAAAGAAAATAAGTGAACAAATGAAAATGTGCTTTCAGGCACAGCCAAGCTAGGGCATTAACAAAATACTTCAAGGCAAAGAACCCTATTGTGGGGACATTATTGTTGATACCTTATGTGCAAGGGTGAGTTTTATGGTATCCTTATCAATTTAATTTATCTTTTCTTTCTAAATTTTATTACATGTGCCATAAAATTATTTTTGGAGCCACTAGATGATGATCGGCATTATGCCGGCTACTATTAAAACTGTAAAGTTTTACTATTTAGACTCTGTTAGTGGGTAGCCAGATAATAGACCTAATATGATAGAATTATTTAATATGTAATTTTTTATTTTAATTAACTTTTAAATTTTTTTTATCATTTTGAATTTTTAACTTCAACTTATTTCTTTTTTATCAAGGTCGTGGTGCTTTATCACACCCAAAAGAACTTTCCTGTACCATTATGTTACAAGTCCTATGATCTAGCCTATACTAATTGGAAGATAATAAAGGTACTTATCACTACTAATTTAAACAATTAATACTAATTTTCTAATTAATTCAATAACATGTTTATTAATTTTTCTATACAGTGCCCACAACAAATATCATATAGCAAGGATTGTGGGATAATGCGTGATGAGATTTCTTAAAGACATCATCACTCACCAGTTGAGCCTAATCCTTGCCATAGTATGTATGTTATTCAACTTCAATTATATGTGATTATGAATTTTAATTCGCTAAAGTAATTAACTATATTGTCATATCACATTATTGTAGTATTATCCTGATTCATACAGTGAAGGATTATGGAACTATCATATAAACAAAGTCATTGAAGAATGGTGTGAGTACATTTTCCAATTGTGGGCCAAAAATAAGCGAGCTCAACATTTTTTAGCTTAGTTTTTCTCATTTAGATTATAAGTTAGAATAATTATGATTTATTGTAGCAAACAATTTTGTTTTACTATTAAATTGATCAATTATATAGCAAAAAATTTTGGTTTTTAATGAAATTATTAGTTTAGTATAACTTTGGATTAGACTGGACTAGTTATATTACATCTACAATGTATTATTGCAAGGGCTGCTACAAATACAACTGTCTTATTATTAAAAAAAATTGCAACACCACAACCGTCCAATATATCATGATATGTTTCAATATAATATAGTATATTAGATGGTTGTAGTCTATAACCATCCAATATGTGTAACAACATATTGGACTGTTGTTGAGCCATCAAATAGTGTAATATTGGATGGTTGTAATAATCATGTAACATTTGTATTTCCAATATATGACAGGGGCATATTAAATAGTTCATAACCATCTAATATAAGCAAAAATAACTGTTCAATATGGCCTTTTTTGTAGTAGTAGTGTTCCTTGCTAGACATGAGTTTGATTAAGAGAACATTGAGTACTAATTTCCAAACCAAATAAGAGAAAATGTGATGAGAGAAAATAGAGAAAAGAGAAAAATGAAGTGATGTAATTTTCTCTCTTTTTGGTAGGCTGAGTGAGAAAAAATGGGAGGAAAGAAAAATTGTTAATTTTATATGGACAATAATAACCTTACTATTTGTAGAAAAATATTTATATATAATAGAAGTTAATATTTTAACATATTATTCACACTAGTACAAAAAAGTAGAACTAACCCCCATGTCTACACCAATTATTATGCATACAGTATAGAAAAAAAAAGAGGCAATAGCATTTTCATAAAAATATTGAAGTTGCGTTAATATCTACACCGGTTATTAGAATAACCAGTGTAGATATATTTTATAATTTTTTTACTTTTTCATTGTAACATATCTACATCGGGTATACATTATAACTGGTGTAGATATTAATTATTATGTTTTTTATTTTTAATTTTATGTATCTACATTGGGTATTCCTAATAACTGATGTAGATATTTTTAAGTTTTAATTTCCATTTTCTAAAGTTGTTTTAAAATTTTGGTGGAAAATAAAATGGTGCAAATGAAACTAATTTGAAACCTTATCTCCTTCGGTTCTAAAACGTCATCCCTCTATGCAGACAAAAATATTTCGATCCGCATCTTTTTTCCCTTTCTCATTTTCTCATTTCCATGTTGGAGGGAAAATTTTTGAAAGAATTTCCTAGCACTTGAGAGACTATTAGCTCATTACTCTATCACTAATAGTGTAAATTTGCTTCTTCTAGGTTTGCTTCATATAAGTTGTTATTTTCTGATATATCTCGATCAAATTGTTGGAAAGAGTCAATGCGATGTTTGGTTTGGGAGCTTCTTGTTATTGATTTTTGCCACTGCATAGCAAGGGTTTCTTTTCTCTTTTCTTCAATCTCGTTCAACATCTTCCTCTATTCTTTCCTTTCTCTCTTTGGTGCGCATAGCCTATTTGTTTATTCCTATCATAGATCTTCCTCCTTTGTTCAACTTGAGCAATTCTTCTTCCCTTGTTATGTTTGCATTGTCAGAATCTTTTTCTTCCCCTTTGTTCTACGTTGTTGCTGACAGAAACTATGGCGTGTAAGTTCAAAATTTCTTCCTTCCTTCTCTTTTCTTGGCATGTGCGTGTCTTTTTGGATTAAGTAAAAAAAAATTAATTATAATATAGTTCTTTTCCTTTGATTCATCAGCTATTGTACATGAAGTAGGAGAGTAGTAGGAGTTTAACAAAAACTGAAATTGGCGAGACAAGAGTTTATATGAGGTAGGTGTTCCTATTACATACTTCTATATATTATAAATTTAGTAAAGGTAAAGGTAGAAATTTAGTTTTGTTTGAATGGATTTTTGATAAAGCCACGAGTTTGGGCAACATAACAAATTTACATAAAAGTTTAGGAATTGTTGAGTAAGAGATTAGAAGAGTAAGAAGCTTAATAATATAGTTGGTTTCCTAATGACCACAAGGCGTTTGTTAAAATGCATAGGAGAGTTGGATTGGAGTAATCAAGTATATTAGGTGCATTAAGGATTGAAATTTAGGATTTAGGTGGTTTAATCTTTATGTTGAAACTTAGGAAGGTCTAGGTCTTGCTTGAATACCAATGTTTATATAATCTCTGTGTGTGTGTGTGTATATACACATATATATGGTATATATGAAGCACTATAAATTGTATTAGCTTTTCATCTTCCTAGTTATAATAAACTATTGTGATTGCATTACCAATTTATTTTTTGTACGCCGGTAGAGTGCTGGTAGAGGTCTAGGGCCATTAGGCATTGCATGCGACTTTATTTTCTTTAAACAATATTATTTTCTTCTTATATTTTTAATTGTAAATTTATTGGAAAATTCAACTTTTAGGGGAGATTTTGTCAAAAAAATTTTAAAACTTATTGTTTTTCCTTTTCCTTTATATGGAAAGGGCCAAAAGATATAGAGTTAGCTTCCCTCCTATCTTATTAGATAGGAGGGAAGCTAACTCTAACAAATATTCTCAAAAAAATAGAAATTATTGTGTTATCATGCTTATTTCTTATTTTTTAATATGTAACTCATTGTTTGGCCTTATCCTGATGGATTTAGTAATAATCTATGAATTTTATAATGTTTTAGGAAGACAAATTAAACATGGACCATAGTTGGATAGATGCCAAACGGACAAGCCTAGAGTATGCTAATGGGGTTAAGGAGTTTTTGGAATTTGCTCGGAGCAATTCTAAAAATGATAGCGAGACGTTTTATTGTCCTTGTAGGGACTATTTGAATGAGAGGCAGCTAAGTGTAGATAAGATATACAAACACTTAATTTGTGAAGGATTTTTCAAAAGTTATAGAGTATAGATATGGCATGGTAAAAGATTAAACTTGCGAATACTGAGTACATCTCAAGTGCAGGATGTCAATGTTGATAATGATAATGATAATGATGATATGGTTGATCGGTTGGAGGACATGATTTGTGAAGTAGGTAAAGAGGCCTTTGTGCAATCCCCGGTGTATAATAATATGTGTAGTGATGCAAATACACCTTTATACCTAGGGTGTGAGGAATATAGTTTGTTGAAAGCAGTGTTGGAATTGGTGAACTTGAAAGCTAGATTTGGATGGAATGATAAGAGCTTCACAGAAATGCTGGAGTTATTGAAATTAATACTTCTAAAGGAAAATGTGTTACCAGTTCATTATTGTAAGGTGAAGAAAATTCTATGCCTACTCGGCATGGAGTTTATGAAAATACATTCATGCTTAAATGACTGCATATTGTCTAGGAAAGAACATAAAGAAAAGCAGAAGTGTCTGATATGTGAGATGCAAAGGTACAAAGAGAACAAAGATATTGTGAAGGTGCTCTAGTATCTTCCAATTATACCAAGGTTTAATCGATTATTTGCTAATGAATAGGATGCAAAGATTTTGAGATGGCGTGCAGATAAGAAAATTTTTGATGGAAAGCTCCAACATCTAGCTAATTTATAACAATGGAAGAAAATTGACAAATTGTTCCTCGAGTTTGGCAGTGATCTAAAGAACCTTAGGTTTAGACTTAGTATGGATAGCATGAATCTTTATGGTAGCCTCAATAGCATACATAGTTCATGGCCCGTTCTCTTGATAATTTACAACTTATCTCCTATATTGTGCATACAATGCAAGTATATCATGTTGTTTATGTTCATTTTGGGACCAAAACAACTGAGGAATGACATTGATGTTTACCTAAGACCCTTGATCAAAGACTTAAAAAAGCTATAGAACATAGTTGTAGATGTGTTCAATGTAAATTAAAAGAGGTATTCAAGCTGCACACAATGATCTTTTATACCATAAATGATTTTCCTACATATGAAATAACGTTAAGGGGCATAAAGCATGTCTGATTTGTAAAGCAAATACATGCTATCATCAACTTTATCATAGAAAAAAGGTAGTTTGTTTTGACCATAAAAGACTTCTTGAAGAGGGTCACCATTATCATAAAATGAGGAAAGTTTTTTTTAGTAGGCAAGAGCATGAAATTGCCCTAAAGCCATTGACAGGAGAGCAAGTTTATCAATTAGTGAAAGACGTCAATGTTACATTTGGTAAAATTATAAAGAGTAGTGAAAAAATATTTGGAAAAAGAGGTTTATCTTGTTTGACTTTCCTTATTAGTGTTATCTTGATATAAGGCATTATATTGATGTCATGCATGTAGAGAAGAATGTGTGTGATAGTATTATTGGAACACTTCTCGACATACTGGGCAAGTCCAAGAAGAGTGTGAAGGTAAGATTGCATTTTGTGAATATGAAAATTAAAGAGGACTTACATCCAAGGCCAAATGGTAAGAGGACTTATTGTCCCTCGGCTGAGCATACTTTATGCAAGGATGAGAAAAGAAGCTTTTATGACTGCTTATACAGCATGAAAGTGCCCTCAGGGTATTCTTTAGATTTTAAAAAGCTTGTATCAATAAAGGATTCAAAATTTGTAGGCCTTAAGTCTCATGATTGTCATGTCTTAATGTAATAACCACTACTAGTGGCTATTCGAGGCTTCTAGAAAGATGAATTAAGAAACATCATAACCAGAATTTGCTTTTTCTTTAATTCTATATGTCATAAAGTCTATGACATTGAAGAATTAGATGAACTAGAAAATGAAGCATATCTTATCATGTGCCAACATAAAAAGCTCTTTATTCTATCATTTTTTGACATTATGATACATTTAATTATTCATTTAGTGAGAGAGATAAAGTTGTGCAGTCCTATTCATTTACAATGGATGTACCCAATTGAAAGAATAATAAAAGTCTTAAAAGGGTATGTGAAGAGTTCACATCGTCCTGAAGCATAAATTGTTCAAAAATATGTCTCTAAAGAAGTGATGGAATTTTATCAAGATTACTTGAATAATGTACGACCCGTTGGGTTGTGACAATGTGATGTCAAAGATATGGCATATCTGTGAATACCGTAGATCCTCATAAATTGCAACAAGCACACTTACACATTTTGAATAATGTTGATCAAGTTCAATAATACATAAATGTGCATAAAGAACTTGTAAGGGAGCAAAGTAGTTGAATTAGGATGAATGAGCAAAGACTAATTAGGGAGTATAATAGTACTTTTGCAAAGTGGTTGAAATAGAAGGTTAAGAATGAAGATTGTGTTTCTGATATTGTTAAAGGGCTGGGATAAGGTCTTGAATGTGATGTTATATGCTAGACTACATTTGATATTAATAGGTATTTGTTCTACACGAAGTCTTTAAACAATAGGAGTAATGTGCAAAACAGTGTTGTTACACTAGTGGCCTCAAGAATGCACTTCTCAAGTAGGAAAGACTTGAATCCTTTGTTCGCATCCATGCCTTATTACGGGGTTATTGAAGAGATCTAGAAAGTTGACTATTTTCAAATGCAAGTAGGTTGATGTGAAAAATGGTTTTCATCAGGATAGGTTAGGATTTACATTGGTCAATCTGAATACTTTAAGTTTTGGCAATAAACCTTTTACTATGGCAGACCAAGCAAAACAAGTGTTTTATGTCATAGGTCCAAGAAATGAAAGATGGTTAGTGGCTCTTGAAGGAAAAAGGGAGGTTAATATTGATGAGAAGGATTGCCCCAAATTTTGATATTTCTAAGAATCATTCCTTCTAAATAGGCTTTCCTATACTGAATGTTGAAGATAAAGTGGATGATGAACATGGTACAAGAGATGAACACTGTAAAGGAATATGAGAGAATATCACTATTTAAAACTATCTTAAAAGTTAGCTATTTATTTATCATTGTGTTTGATTATTTAATTAATTATTTCTTTTACCATAAAAATATATTTATCATTGTGTTTGATTTATTTATTAATTAATTTATTCAATTTATTGATCACTTATGAATTTTGTTTATTGTCTAAATAGGATTGTGGAGGATCAGGGCATTAATCAGGGACAACCTGACCCTTTTACTACTCCAATTGTGTCTACTACTAGTGATGAGGGTGTGCTTACAATCAGAGACCAAACCCAGATTGTGTGTAGCAGCCAATCTACACGAACAAGGAGACCTAGAAGTGGAACACGATTGAGAGAATTGGCTTTGAGTCAAAGAAGAAGTAAAAGGATTTTGATCCAGTTTGATAGCAAATGGAAGCCAATCGAGCCTAACACAGCCAAGTATACCAATTTTGCAAGCCTCCAAGCCTGCAGCAAGTTGAATATTGATACCCACATGGGCCGATGTCCCCGAACATGTTAAGGAACAGATTTGGGATGCCATTAATATGAGCACTTTTATCACTTTTTTATCACTAATTATTAATATCACTAACTATTTTAATGGCATATATTGTAGGTCACCTATGATGTCCCGAACGATGCAAACTTTAAGCATCGGTTGATGACCTGGGCCTACGATCATTGGAGGGGTTTCAAGACATCATTAGCTAAAAGATTTACGCATGTCGAGATGTCAAAAGGGTAGCCTTGGCCTGATCCTTGTGTCAAGTATACATTTTTAAAACCAGATACTTTTGATGAATTCTTTAGGCTTAGGACTACGCCAAATGCTATGGTGAGTTAGTTTGTTTTAATTTAATTATTCTTTATTATTTATTTAAGTTATATATCATTGTTTTTCTTAAATTATGGATATTTTAAGAGTTCAAATTTATAGGAAAGAAGGAGAAAGGCTCAAGAAATTAGAAGGATCAATAATTGTCCTTAAACGAAATCTTGTGGTGATTATGCGTTGACCGATAAAGAATTGATAGATGCTAAGAGGAGGAAGAGGGAAGAACAAGCTCAATCTGATCCTTCTATTTTGCTGTCTCTACTATCTCCAATATATCACGATGAGAGATGGATCCATGCTTACCAAAAGAAGGATGGGTCCTTTTCAAGCAAGCATGTTTGTAACTTTGCTCAAAAAATTATAAGTATATCAATTTTCCTCTCTATATTTATTTTAAATATAAAATATTACTAATTGTTTGGTATTTGCATGTTAAAGGATGAGCTTAAGCAAAAACAATCCGATGGATTATTCATTCCAGAAGGAAGAAATGACATCCTAACCATTGCTACGAGGAAACTAGATCATCTTGGACGTGTTAGGGGATTTGTATCAGAGGTGAGCATAAGAGATGTATTTAGACCACCTTGTCAATCCCATTCTTCAGGACTCGTGACTAGAGAAGAGATGAATGCGCTATTGGCTTAGTCAAGGGAAGAGGCAAGGACAGAGGCAAAGGCTACCCTTAAAGCTAGGTGGTAAAAGATGAAGGAGGAAATAGTAATGATGGTGAACTCAAATAAGGATCTAAGTGTCTCGATATCCCACTCTCTAGCTTGTCATCTAAGTACTAAAGGGAGTAACATTGTTTTGATTCCTTCAAAGGATGACCCGGCCCCTGAGCTTGATAAGCTATGCTTCTTATATGTGGATGATCTGGAGAGACGCTTAGTAGCATGAGGTCGGATCCACGAGCGGTCAAAATGCCACTTTCAAGAAGTTTAAGAAGATGTTAAAATCCATAGATATACTATCCTACTTCTACTTCAGTATCTCTAGTGGTTGTAAGGTTCTTGCTAGTCTCTAATGCTCAATTTTAACCTTTTGACAAATTAAACACTGAGGAACAAAATCTATAACATCCCTTTTCATTCCAAGCCACCACCAATACCGCTTCATATCCTGGTACATCTTAGTTGCTCCAGGGTGAATTGTATATTTACTCTTATATGCCTCATTCAAAATTTTCTTTCTCAAATCACCCTCATCTGGTACATAAACCCGATCTTGATATAAAACATATCCATCATCACTGAAACCAAAGTCTATGGTTCGCCTTTCCTTTACATCTTCTCAAATTTTCAACAGATACTCATCTTCAAGCTGTGTCCTTAACTCTCTAAAACTCATTGGTAATCTCTGTGGAATGTAGACTACACAAAGTAAATTTCAGTGAGTCATGATGAATATCCAAGTAGGATTCCAGCAATTTATGCTCTTGCACCATTAGATAAGCAACATGCAATGACTTTCGACTTAAGGCATCTGCAACCACATTTGCTTTCCCCGGATGGTGTTCAAATTCGAAGCTATAGTCCTTCAAAATTTATAGCACAATCCTTAAATGCTTGGCATTCTGCTCCTCATTTTTAGAATATATCAAAATGTCATCAATAAATACCACTACAAACTGATCCAGGTAAGGCCTAAATATGTGGTTCATGTAGTCCATGAAAATCGCATGTGCATTTATTAACCTAAATGGCATGACCAGAAACTTATAATGCCCATATCTGGTATGGAAAGCTATCTTGGGCACATCCTCCAAGCGCACTCTCAATTGATGGCATCATGACCTCAACTTAATTTTTGAGAACACCGAAGCTCCTACCAATTGATCTAACAAATCATCAATCCCTCAGTAAAGGATATTTGTTCTTCACCATCACCTTATTCAAATGTCTATAATCAATACAGAGCCGTAACCTACCGTCCTTCTTCTTAATAAATAGCACAGGTGATCCCCAAGGTGACACACTAGGTCTAATAAATCCTTTTTCAAGTAACTCCTCTATCTGCTTCTTCAACTCAGCTAACTCCATTGGTGACATTCGGTATGGTGCCTTTGAGATTGTTTTAGTTCCTGGCACTAGGTCTATAGTGAATTCTACTTCCCTTTCTGGAGGCAAACTAGACATATCATCCTTAAATACCTCAGGGAATTCATTCACTACCCCAATCTTAGTAATATTTCCATCATAGACCCCATGCACTAAAAAGAAAACCATATAAGCCATACACCCTTATTGTATCACACTAGTATAAAATATGAAATTTACAGGGTACCTTTTACACCTATTAGAAGGCAAATAGTGTAAAAAATATAGGTGATGGCATTTTTGTAATTATGTTGAAGTTTTAGACACTTTTTACACTGGGTGGACCACCATCTGGTGTAAAAAGTATGGTTTCTACACTGGGTGGCCATGCACCCGATGTAAAAAGTGAAGTTTTGGACACTTTTTACACTAGGTGGAAGTGAAGTTTTGGACACTTTTTACACTGGGTGGACCACCACCCAGTGTAGAAAATATTTTTAAATTTCCCCTCCTTCTTAATGTCTTCTTCCTCCATTCATTTGCTCCTTCTTCAGTTGCTTCCTCCTTCTTGTCGTCCTCCCCCTGTTGCCGCTTTACTCCACCGCCCTTTCCGACCCCCGTTGCCGCCCCTCCTCGTCGTCTCCCCCTCCCTTAGCCACCCCTTCCTTCTCGTCTCCCTCTCCTTGTCACCCACCCCTTCCCTCACTGCCCCCTTCCCCTCTCCCTACCCTCCTTTCTCAATGCCTCTGCCCTGCCACCACTCCTTCTCCCCTTTTCACTCTCTTAGTGCTGAGCCGTTGTTGCTGCCACTCAGGTATGTGTTGAATATGAATTTTTAAATTTTATAATGCTTAAATTTAGTTTTTAATAATATTGATTGTTGCTGGGAGTGCTGTTAGTGGCTTCATAAGGCCTCAGATTATTGCATGTGATCATTTATTTGGTTTAAAATTATTAATTTTCTCATGTAAAATTTTCTAAAACTGTTGGGAAGTCCAATTTTTAGGGGAGACTCTATCGAATTTTTTTTTTGAATTTATTCTTTCATCTAAATTGTTTAAATTTAATTTTTAATGATATTAATTGTTGCTAGGAGTGCTGTTAGTGGCTTTGTAAGGCCTCAGATTATTGCATGTGATCATTTATTTGATTTAAAATTGTTAATTTTCTCGTGTAAAATTTTTTAAAACTATTGGGAAGTCCAATTTTTAGGGGAGACTGTCGAAATTTTTTTTGAATCCATTCTTTCATCTAAATTGTTTAAATTTAGTTTTTAATGATATTGATTGTTGCTGGGAGTGCTGTTAGTGGCTTCATAAGGCCTCAGGTTATTGCATGTGATCATTTATTTGGTTTAAAATTATCAATTTTCTCTTGTAAATTTTTTTAAAAGTTTTAGGAGATCAAATTTTCAGGGGACACTTTGCCGAAATTTTTTCAAATCTTAAATTAATTAGGAATTTAGTTTCTTGAAATAGTTTGAAGGTAATAACATTAGTTATATTCTTTAGGAGGTGACACATGGATCATAGTTGGATGAATGCTAGACGAACGAGTGACAAGTATGATAATGGGGTGAAAGAATTTTTGGAATTTGCTAAGAAAAATGCTGTTGGGATGCCAACCGGTGTTAAGGTTAGGATAATGGAATTTGCTATGATAATGGAGTGTCAAAAGTCCACTTTTAACATCGGTTGGGATGCCAACCGGTGTTAAAAGTGGACTTTTAACATCGGTTGGAAGCCCAACCGGTGTTAAAAGTTAAAGTAATTTTTTTATTTTCTTGTATATAATTTTCAACATTGATTTTATAACTGATGTAAAAATATTAGTTTTTACATTGGGTTTATAACTGATGTAAAAAGAGAGACTTTCTACACCCCTAAGAACAACATCGCTTGTTTAACTGCTGTAAAAAGTCATTTTTAACCACTGTAAAAAGTTATTTTTGTACTAGTGTAAGTTTTTCTACTTGCACCACTAATAAGAACATAGACTCGCTAGGAATATTAACCGGTATAGTATGTATCGGTAAAAAAACTATCTTCCTAGTACAATCCAAGGTGGAATTATTTGCCATCAACCAATCCATATCGATAATCATGTCCAAACCCTTCATAGGAATTCAGATCAAATCTAGGGTGGTCGAATGATTTTCAAACCTCACTTCTACATTTAAACATGCTTTACTAGTCATATCAGATAACCCAAACGGCATAGACACTTTAATCATATAAGGCAATTCATGTAAAGGAAGTCCCAACCTCTCTACACATTCTTATGAAATAAACAAATGTGTAGCACTGGAATCAAACAATGCTTCAATTTTTTGCTCGCAGATAGAAATAATACCTTTTATCAAGTTTGGCGATGCTCTTGCCTCCTCCTGAGATAGTGTATAGACTCATCTTAGAATGATAGATCTCTACTCTGCCATCTCCACTCTTCCCTTAGGGTATTGTCTTGCCAAATGGCTAGGTTTCCTACATTTAAAACATCCCCAGCACCTCCCAGGATGTGACCGCCCACACTTAGCATATAGTGGTGGTCGAGTTGTACTCAAGGTTGGGGTAGGCATATTAGAAGCCCATTGGGATGGTTGTGGAACACCAGAACTCCTAAATCTGCCCCTCTGAAATGTTACCTGAGTGTGTAATCCTCTAACAAAACTCTTCTTGCCCAGTATTGCAGAACTACTCAGACTATAACCCGTCTTAGAGAGTCCTCCAGAAGGGCTTAGGGAGGATGAGAACCTCCCATGACTATCTCATCTCTTTTCTGCTTCTTGTTGCAATTCGGAGCCGATTACACATGTCACCATATGTGGTTACTCCTAGTAGAGCAATTTATTGTCTATATTCAGGCCTCATCTTTTCCAAAAGCCTCTTGGCCTTCCACTCACTATCATTGGTCTCATTCAAATAAGAAGAAAATTTTAATAGCTAATTAAACTTCTGGATAAATGCTTCCTCATCAAGATCTCCTTGCCGAAATGCATGAAACTCGGCCTCTTTCTCATCTATAAATGTTGGAGGAAAATGATGATCAAAGAACATTTTCTTGAATTGTTCCCATGTTAGCTGGCATCCATCAACTGGTCTTGCAAAATTCCACCAGTGTTTATCATCTTCAACAAGATATACTATGGCTATAATCACCTTCTGTTTCGTAGAGCACGGTACCACCTCAAAGATGGTCTCAACTCTCTCTATCCATTTCTCCACTTCTCCTTCCTTCATAGTTCCATTAAAGGTTGGAGGGTTAAACCGAGAGAAAGTCCTTCATGCTCGATTAATAGCCATCCCTTGAACATCTCCATCTGCTCTCGTCCCAGACGATCTAGGTCTACTACCAGAACCATGAGATGGTTCCGATCTGCTCTCATGAGCTTCCTCTTGTCTCCTTTGTTCCTCCTCATGACCTCTATTATGGAGCAAAGTGTCGTGGTCTTGTACAGTTCTCTGAATATTCCTCATCATATCTTGCAATTCTTTTAGAATTGCATCATTATCTTAGGACCTTTGTTGTTGTTCCACTTGTTTCTCTGGCTGTACCTCTAGTATAGGCCTATCATTCTCTAGTAAATTACCAGCATTTCGAGTACTTCTTCTAACCATTTTTCTCCCCTCCCAAGGAAGAAATCAAGTAAAAAAGGGGAATTAGTAGGAAATAAAGGAAACGAGACAAAGGGAAACAGTTGTGTACATAAAGTTGCCAACTAATGAGAATGAATGCAATAGACACATTAGCACAACCAGATCTCATAACCTAAGAAACTGATACCAAACTGTAATGTCTACCTTGACATTACTGAAATTCACTACATAATCACAACAAACAATCATAATTAGGAGCAAGAATTGCTCCTAAGCTCACATTATCCATATAAGGGCTAAAACTAATAATCTTTTAAAAATAATTGTGGAATAATTGAGATCCCATAAAAAACCCTTTAAATTGATAGTTTGAGCTTAAACTTAATGATTTATAAAGGTATTGGAAGTATGGAAAAGTTTTAGGAAGCAAACCACTTCAAAACAGGGCTAAAAATGTCATTTTTAGTATTTTTGGTCTATGTGCCATGGCATATGGCACAGAAAGCGAAGTTCACTTGCTGTATCATGCACTGTGGCGCACGTGTCCATGATAGCAATACTGTCATGACAGCTTTTCTGAACGAACTTCGAATGAAGGCCATTTTTGCATTCGATGTCTGGTTGGAGTGATTCAAGTGCCTACGTGAAGCTTATTCAATAAGCTAACTAAGTTTCATTACGATACAACACCGTATGAGAATTTTAGACACTTAAATGCAAAAGTCAGTTTTTAAAGAAATTTTCAACCATCCAAGTACCCAAAACTCATAACTTATACCATTAACCCATTGTAAGGCTTGAACTAAGTCCAATGGACTAAAATACACTTGAGTGACTAATCAAACACACAAAAACATAGCCAATACAAAATTTAGCCACTCAATGGCCATTTCACCTAATACAACCAAAACACACAATCAACACTACATGCACTATTTGGCTTCTATTGCCACATAATACATTACAATTACATTGTTACCATATAGATAAAACATTCCTTGTACTTGTATTAGTATTTTAGCCCATCACCAAAAATTCCTACATATTCACATCACATACCATATTGGGCTAAAATACAAAAATAACATAGTATGAAACAAGTGCAACCAATCAAAATGATATGCATTCCTAGTTGGCAACATATAATATCATTCATATAAGTTTATATACACGACTCAAAATGAAATCGAGCTTTACAATAAGAATGTAGCAAGTATGCTAGCCCTTGCCCAATTCCCTCCATGGCTCAGTCTCGCTAGTAGAACCTGTAAAATAATAACCACGGGGTGAGATAAAAATCTCAGTAACTAAGATAATCTATACTATTGATTAATAAGCCAAGTTATAGACAAGCCTTAAATCAAGTAAAATAAGCACAATATATAAAATCACCACAAATTACATGCATGATCCCTATCTATCCGGTCCTTCAATACTCTCGACCAAACCGATAGGCTATTTCACAGAACCAAACCACATATATGGTTCCCAAACTCACCATCCATGTTAGGACTATCTGGCCAAGGTGTCCTAAACCACTTTTGAAACTATTGGTTCCCCCATTACAAGTAATTAGGGTGTCGTTACTCCAACACTGCTTCCTACGGATGCTAAGGAGCATATTCTCCAACTTCGCACCCTTTTGGGTATTAAGAGAGTAAGTCTCCAACACCACACCCATTTTTGGGCACTAAGGAGAGTAAGTGCTGCACCTGACGTCCTAAGGTACCAGTAGTGCATATGGACTTAATCTTCACTAACACTACTAGGGTGACCTCCCACCCTCTAATATGCCACAATTCACTACATATCTCCACTTAACCATGCATAAACAACTTTCTAAATAAATATAACAAATCTTACCATTTACTTCAAAAATATAGAATTTTCCAAACCAATGCTCCACTTATTTTCTAAAATAGTTAACCTTTAAAGAATTTAGACATATATACTCTACAAATAATAGAAAAGCAACTTGAGAATAACTTATACAAGGTAATAAATAATGCAAATTATCTAGTTACCTCAACCTTTTGTTACTAAAAGGGTTACCCATGGTACTAATTCTTTTCTTGTGTCAAGGTAAGTTTTCCCACTCCACAGTCTACATCAACAAGTACTATATGTTAATTTTCAATTAACATAAGCACTATTAGCTAATAATAACCTCCCAATTCTCCCACTTCTCACTCATATTCTTAACAAAGACATTTTAAGATTATAATTTGTTCACACAATCCCTTTAAGCCTCTTTCTACTCTATCACAACATAAAACTTAATATCTCAACTTATCACACTTCAACACCCTATGATCAAGTTAGAGCTTGATCCAAAATTCACCAAACAAGAAAGTAGCTTCCTATTACCATATATCCAAGATCAATAAACCTAAATTAAACCTTTAGAGTTAATAGAAACCTTCAAAACATTGACTCATGGCTTAATCCAATCAGACCAAATTCTCACTCTTCCAAATCCCATGGAAAATTATATGAAAAGGTAGAGGAGAAGGGTAGGAAACTTACTCAAGAGTTTGAAGGCTCAAATTATCTTCAAAATCTTCCTAAAATAATGCCCTAGTAGTGCCCAAAGTTGCTCCCTTCGTGTTCTAGGTTTTCCACCCCAAAATCTGTCAATTTATGATGATTTGAGAAATTTTAAGTTGCCTACTGTGTCGTGCGCTATAGTGCATGCCATGAAAGCCGTGGCTCACGACACAGCGAGCAAAATATTGATTTTGCTACCTCCAATGCCACCCGACTTGATCCAACTTTCATCCTATCTCAATTTAAAGCCAAATATGACCTAAAAATTCAATTAGCAACCCAAAAATATAATTAAATAAATTAATCATATTTTTAACTAATTTATCCCTTAATTAATCAACTTTTCTAGATTTGAAGTCTTAGGATGTTACACATGTTTTTATTCTATGTAATTTTGATGATAGAGTTTTTTTAATATAATTTTGACAATGTTGTGCTATTTTTATAGAGCCATCATCAACCCCCTACTAACTTGTGCAGCTTTTATGTGTTGAGACACGCATATAATATCATCACAACTGGCTTGATTGAGTTCATTGAAAAGGTAAATCTAATTTTAGATGTTGTCTATTTTTTGTTTACTTAGAAATTGCTAAGTTAATTTTGTTTATTTTTCATATGTTAAATGATTCGTCTCCATTTCTTGAATCAAAATCCAAGAAATTAGAAGACATTAGGGACTATTCCTATTAGACTATCACAACAATCATCCTTTAGAAGAGTAAGTTATATAGTTGTAGAAAAAATTAGTGTAGTTATATAGGATTGTGTGGTTCACGTTTGACAATTCATTTGATGTTTAATTGTGTACTTGTATAGTTTTGTGTGAAAGGAAATGTAAATGTTTAACAATTCATTTCAATTGATCAATATTTGATTATATTGGATCTGTCTGGTTGTTTGGCTATTTTAAATTTAATTAGATTGCAAGTTTTAATTAAATTTCAGCCTAACAGGGCTGGGGGTAAATGAAAGACATGAATGTGATATTTTTTTAACAAATATATCTTCACCGGTTATGACTATAACTGGTGTAGATATCTATCTTATCTACACCGGTTACAATATAACCAGTGTAGATATTAATTTTTAAGTAAAATTTTTTATAAATTCTTTAATTTTTTTTCCACACCTGATGGAAAACTGATGTAGATATATATAATATCTACACCCATTATTTTTTTAACCGGTGTAGATAATGACAAGTTACCTATACTAGTCTTATCTACAAAACCGATGTAGATAATCAATCTTAATCAATGTAGATGTCACTTTCTACAATTGTGTTATATGATTTTTATTATATATTACTAATTACATAAAAATATAATTGTAGATTCACTAATCTAATGGTAGCAAAAAAAAACTTATTTTGCCCAATTTTAATTTTAATTTCTTAAATTATTAAATATATAATAATCTAAATTCTAAAGTAAAGGGAAAATTATGATGAAAATATGGGGAGGTAATAGGTAAGAAACAAAAAAATTGTAAATTTGAAAATTAATTTTGTCTCTCCAAAATCTTCTTATATTTAGAAAGAAAAGTTGGAGATAAAAATATATGAATCCCATATTTTATTTTCCTTCCAATTTTCTTTTCGTTTCATTTGTCTATCCTTGGTCAAGTAGGAGAAAATGTCTTTACCCCCCACTTTTCATTTTTCCCTACTTTTCTCTCCTACCAAACACAACATTAGGGACAACTAATGTCCTAAACTTGATGTTGGATTATTTTTCCCTTAAACATTAAGGGCCCATTTGTTTTAGCTTATTTCATGAAAAAACCACTTTTTTTTGAAAAAAATCTATTTTTTTCAATTTTTATGATGTTTATTTATAAAACAAAAATCAAGAAAGATATCATAAAATTAAAAAATAACTAACTAATGATCTTTTTTTATTGTAACCAAACATAAAATAATGTCTGTTTTTTTATAAAATCTCAACAAAATAAATCTCATTTTGTAAAATATCTAAACTACCCAAAAATTATTTATTTTTAATTTTAAACAAACAGGCCTTAAAAAATCTAATGACATGTTTCCTACCATTAAAACTATAATGCCCTCATTGATATTACCATACAACCATCCACATAACTATGAATCAAAATAATTAACTTTAAAAATCATGGGATCTTAATATAAAACTTTCAAAAATCATATAATAATAAAACTAGTTGGTAAAATAATACATAGCAGAAGCATTGTGCAATAGAACTCCTAAATCAATAAGAAAACGTATGCAATTTAAACCAAATCAAGTCAAAATAGGGGCCATATATGCCACGGCATGTGGCACAGAGACCACAGCTGCCCACTTTATGTCATGCATCGTGACATGTGGATACATGCACTGGGGCACACACACCTGATAATGCTTTCATTTAGTAATTTCTAGTGTGAACTTCGAATGTATTTCCACATTTGATGTCTAATTAGGGTGATTCAAATGTCCACACGAAGCTTGTTTCATGATCTAACTAAGGATACTAGTTTCATTTCAATCCAATATCTCATTTATAAATTGAACACCCAAGTGCATTTTGACCATTTTTTATGTAAAAATTTGCCACTTGAGCATCACCAATTGAAATTGTATGTTATTAGCTGCTTTTAGAGGCTTGACCATATCCAAATAGACAATGTATACCTGATTGACCAATCTTATACACATTATACCATGCATACACATGATTTGCCTATAAACCACGCATATCACACATTTGGGAAAAATTTCATTTTTCATTCTCAATCTCATACAAGGCCAAATCTTTCCTATACACATCAAGTATATCTCATATCCACACATATTCACATTCATCCACTAGCCCACTCTATCATTCCATCATTCACACATATACACATGGCTAGGAAACCAAAACCACCAAAACACAATATTCATAACATTATGTACATGTACTTAATTCCTAAGGCAACTTATACACAAGTTCAAAACTAATAATATACAACTTCATTACACCAATTCTTATAGAAAGGCTTAGTAAGAGGTATCAACTTAGCCTATGTCTTTTTCTTTTGCACCACCACTACCAGAACTTGAAAGATATAAATAACCGTAGGTGAGATAAAAATCTCAATAACTAATATAGTTCATTCAATGTCTATTATCACAGACAACCATGCCAAAGTGACAAAATTAGAATAATAGCAATTATATATCAAGGTATATAGAAATTTCCTCTTTTTAAAGCATATCTATGTAAATACCACACTAGTATGATCATCTAGTCAATGAACCTCTAATGCTCCTCAACATGAAACCATAAGCTCTATTGGATCAATGACTTATTGACTGAAACACACTTTTAGTGGTAGAAACATCCAGCCAAAAGTAATTCATCCTATCTATGGACTATAGTTTCCCTCTTTACACACTTGTGAGAGAGGTGTTATTGACTTCTAACCGCATCTTAAGTACTAGGGAGTTGCCAGACTATTCAAATGTCCCATGGTAACGGTCCTAATATATGCTATACTAGATTACTCATGGTACCAACCTATATAATACTATACCGGATGTCCCATGGTGTTAGCCTGATCATATAAATTTTTCACTCACATCTCCACACACACATCCCCACATATCCTGGGTGAACTCCCATCCCTTATGATCATTTTCTTTACACAATTTATCACCATTCCACACTTTCATAACACACACACACATGTCAAATAAAGTTAGAAATCATTAAACTTTCCTTTTACAAATATAATTTCATGTTAAAATCATTCACAATGCAAAACCATGCATAAAAACTATCAAAACCACAATTATACCATTACTTCTACATAGTTATAATAGTTAACAAACATAATAAATTATATGGTTACCTCAACCCTTTTACTTAATAGAAAGGATTACTTGTGTTCTACAACCCTATTCGAGCTTCTTTAGTTATTCAGCTCATTGCATGCAAGAATCTACATGATTTAGGCACCCAGGGTCAATTTCACCATTGACAAAAAGTGCCAATTATAATACTTAAGCACCTAATCACTATCGTTTCCTCTATTTACACTCACTCATGTGCATTATGACTAATTACCACTCTATACAAGCTTAAACCTTTACCTAGCCAGATTTCTCTCACCACTCTCTCTCTAAACTAGGTCAAATTATACTTATTGCTTTATAGCTTTATCATTCCAATTCAAACCAGTCACAAAGTACTAGTTTAGTTTTGGAGAACCTTTTTATTATTATAGGATAAGAGATCATCTTCTTAAAATTTTTAAATTTAATTTCTCACTAGTGAAAACAAGAAATAGGGTAGAATTGATGGTTAAGGTAGTACGAGACTTACCCGATAAGTAACAAGTTGAAAACATTGTCCATTCTCCCAAAACTCAATGCTATAGCAAAGGTTGGCACCTTCTCCATGCCTGACCCCTTTTTCCTTATTTCCTTTTCTATTTTCACGAGTGACACATGAAGCCATTCTGCACCATGCACCACGGTGCATCCATCCTCTACCTCGGTGCATGGCACAGTGAGGGTAATCCTTACTATACTCACATGCTCTACTTTAGGACTTCATTTTTCCACTCATATTTACTCATATAACATATCAATGAGTCAAAATAACACTTTACTATCTAGAATACTAATCTCACATTAAATCACTAAATCATTCCGTAATCAGTAATTAATGCAAGATTAAAAATTTGGGATGTTACAAATACACCAGAGATAGATGCCTAGTCAAATTTTTTTAAAAAAAAATCCAATCTCATATTACAATAAAAAAATTAAATTAAAAAAATATTTCATATATACACTTGACAATCTGACTTAGATTTTTTTAAAAAATTTCCTCCACATGTACACTTGACAAGCGCTAGCCCTCAATCTTGGCAATTGAGGCTTATAGTTGTTGTGTGAGAGAGCAAGTGGTTGTCTACATCTAAGCTAGGTTTTGGGATTAAAATAGTGCAGGGAAGGTAAGTTGTTGATATTGAGAGAGGGAGAGTAATTTTTTTTCTAAAATAAGAAATTTGAGTCAGGCTATCAAGTGTACATATGGAGGAATTTTTAAAAAATATAATTAATTGCTGACTATGATTTGAGATGGGAATTTTTTTTAATTAGTTTTTGATTGTGCATCTACTTGAATTCCATGTGTACAAATGTGGGGGACCCATTAACTTAAATTAACGTTTGTTTTTGGCGCATTCACGACTTGACACGAGTGATTAGGTTTCTTAACATTTAAGGTGGGAAATGACTCAAAATTGAGTTTGGGATACCAAATGCCCCTAAGCGAATACTTTGAGACAAAAGTGATCTTATTAATTTTTGATTGGCATCCACTTGGATGCTACATGTACATTTATTGTCAAAACACTTTAACGGTAAAGTAGAAATGAGTGCATTTTTAAACGTTCAAGGGCATTTTGATCTAAGATCGAGTTCAGGACACCTACAAATCCTAAGTGAATAATTTGAGAGCAAAAATGATTCTTAACCTAATTCTTTATTACTAGTTCATAATCATATTTTTGGGGAAAGAAATTAAAGTTCTGAAAAATTGGGTGTTACCTGTCTCAAAAAATTTAAAGTTACATAACATAATATTTTTATTTATTTTTAAGATTCCAATGTCATCAAACCAATCGTTACTAGACTATTAATTAACATATTTTGGACTAAAATACTTTCTTTAAGAAATTGATTTAAAATTACTGAGGTATATAAAAAAATTTAGTTCATACATTTTGAACTTTTTCTAATCATATTTAAAAGATAAACTTATTTATTTAGTAATTTATCGAATTCCAAATGCATAACTTTTTGACTAGAATTATATTTCAAGCACATATTTGCATAAATCTTATATATTATTTCAATTAATAAATAAAATATTTTATTATTTTTAAAAAAGTATCTTGTTTACATTAAAAATTAGACTAAAGTGTAAGTTTTTGAAAATATTTTAAGATCTTAATAATTAAATAAAATTGTAGAAAGATCATTATATCTTAGTCTCTCTTTGTCAACAGCCAGGCAAAGGAAGTGATGGGAAGGGAGAAAATGGAAAAATTAAAGGGCGAGTGATAGATAGATCCTAAACAATCAATTAATTTAAATTAGGTTCCAATCAATTTCAAACTACCAAACTCTAGGGATTTTCAAGTTTAGCTCTCAATTTTGTAACTTCGTTGTGATAAATGTGAAACTTATTTTTTAGATTTTAACATGGTTGAAAAATAAATACATTTATTTTTTCTATTAAAATTTGGAATACAAGTTGTAAATTCATTACAATAAAATTGTAAAATTGAGAGCTAAACTTACAAATTCATAAAGTTTGGCATTTTAAAATTGGTTGGGACCTAATTTGAATTAATTGGTCCTCTTGAAACGTATTTGTCATTCTTCCAAAATCAAAACTCAAAATGAAGATATTGGCAAGGAATATTCAATGGATTTTGAAATTTTTTTGCTCGTGATCTCATTTGTAATTATGTTTCTTATTAAAATTACTAAGTTACCCTTGCATAATAAGCCACTACCAAATTTGCATTTTCTTCTTCTCTACTTCCTCCTCACCCATCCTTTTTTCTCTTCCTATTCCAACATTGATAGGCCCGAAGTATTGCCATCGTCGCTGGCAGAGAATAATTACTTTGTTAGTGCAACACCCACATAAACTCCAAAGAAGGCAGCACAAGACGGAACCACAAATTCCTAGAAACAGAGTCTAACAAGGAAGAGCTTGTAGAAATTTAGAGAACAAGCAAGAAACTCAGTTGGGGTGTAGGTCAAAGAGGGACAAAAGACCAAGAAACATTTGGTGCTTCCATTGCTTCAAACAAGATCAGGTTAATTGGATACAAAGCTGGAAGAAAAGCTCTCTCTTTCTAAAAATATATTAGCCAAAAAAGAAAATTCAGAAAAGATATAACAGGATCTATAAAGCTGGAGGAAGGAAGAGAGAACATGGAAGTAAAGTTGCTTTGGAAGGAAAAATGATTGACATGATTGATAATTGTTGTTGTTGGATTTGGTTAGTAAGTAAAGTCAAGAGGCAAAGAAGAAGGATAATACTTTCTTAGGGTTAGGTGGTTGGCTAAATTGTGCCAATGTAGCAGGTTAAGACTAAAAATGAAGAGTTTTGTTTGTGGGAATCATTGGATCTGCACATACTAACCAACAATTTGTAGTGGGTATTATTATTTTGGAGAATTTTAAATAAGGATTAGGAATGTGACATAAGTATTAGTAAATTTTAAAAAATTCTAAAATTTCAGTTTCATACAAGGGACAAAAGTGAAAATAATTTTAAATGTGAAAAGACTAAAGTATCATTTACTTGTTATGTAGAATCATTGGTTAATTTTATTACTTTACTTGTTAATTTATCAATATTACTTATAAATTACATCCGTTTGTCAAACAAACAATAACATGAGTGGTTAATTTGCTAAATTGATTTATTAATTTACTAATATCAGTTGTAAATTACAAGTTCTGTCAATAATTTATAACTAATGTTAGCATATAAATTAAAAAACCTATCAGTAATTTACAAATGATATTAGTAAATTAATAAATAAAGTTAGCAATTTAACAATTAATGTTGTTGCTTATGATTAAACAACTTATGTTAAGTCTTATATAATTATTGACACGTCAACTCATGTAATTTGCAACTTATATTAATATATTAATAAGTGAAATAAAAAAATTAATAACTAATAATTTTGTATAATTAGTAAAGAGTATTTTAATATTTTTTCACAATTGAAATTATTTTTACTTTTATCTCTCTTGACTAAACTAAAATTTTAGAATTTTTTGAGATTTACTAGTAATTATATCATATCTCTTATCCTTCTTTAAAATTTTCTCTATTATTTTCTCTTCCATGAGAGAAAATGCAGAGTGAGACTGAGAGAGAATCTACAAAATTGTTACAAGACTGGGGGCAAACGTACTGCTTATCCTGTCAACGGAGCGTGGTACTTACCACTCTACAACAGTAGAATTTGAGAAAAGCTTGTGGTTGACTCTAGCCCATAGTTGTTGGAAGAGGAAGAGATAGAAGGTTGAAAGAAGAAAATGCGGTCAGGGTAGCTGACTCTATAAGGGTAACTTGGTAATTTCAATGAAAAATATAATTGTAAATGATACTTTTAAGCTTGCAGAGAAAATTTTCAAAATTTATTCATTCTTTTCCACATATATCTTAATTGATTTTGGCCAAAATATGTATATATATATATATATATAATATATATCTTACTCCCTCCATTCCTATATATAAAAAGTTTTTAAAAACTTTTTTTATATTTAAATATAAAAAATTATTAGTATATTTTTAATGAATGTATCATTATATTCTTATTAAATTGAAAAGAGAAAAAGATAAGTACTCTCATTAATTTAATTTAAAAAAATTAATTTTTTATTTATAATAATTAAGAGTAAAATTAAAATATTATTATATTTTTAATTGAATAATTAACTTTTATTAATTTTTTTAATTTAATTAAAAATATTTTATATACAAAGATGGAGGAAGTAATTTGATCCTAAATGCGGTTCTCTTAAAGAAAAGCAATCAACTTGCCAGAAGATCTGGTCAAATCAAAATGATGTCTATGGGCCCATCATCGCTTGCCTTACTTGATTAGTGGTTTGTCTTTCCATCTTGATTGATTTATTAATAGGAAAATCTTGTACATTTAATATATTTACTTCTAATTAAATTAAGATATATATGTGTGAGAGGGAGAGAGAATTTTTATAGATTACTTATTCTATAATAAACTATTGTTATTTATATTATTAACACATTAATATTAACTTATCTTAATTCAATTAAATAAAAGTATATTAATTAAGTATATAAAAATAAATATTTAATTTTTTTACTTGATTAATTATTAGGGAAAATGAAAATTAGGGAATCATGAAAATATTAATGATAATTACAAACTCTAATTAAAATTTCAATAATAGAGCATGGTTCTTACTTATAATTAAAACAATATGAATAATAAGTTGAAAATCAACAAAATATTTGTAATGTTAGTTGGAAATACACAAATAAATTTATGTGAATCAATTGTCAATCTCAATTTTTTATTTTCAATATATAAATAAATTGCTAGGAAAAAAAAAAAATACACTTATGATTATTTGTAATATAAGTTAAAAATTTATGAGAATCAATTATAAATCTTAAGCTAATCACTTATAATTTTTAGCTATCAATATAAAGATAAATTTCTTAGGAAATCTACAACATACGCTTTAGATTATTTATAATATCAGTTAAAAATTTAAGAATGTTAATGGTAAATATTAAGCTAATCACTTGTGATTTTTTGCTATTGTTTGAAAAATCATCAAAAGATACTTAAGACTCTTGATAGCATTAGTTAAAAATTTACAAAAGTTCATTTTGAATCTCAAGTTAATCAATAAAAATAATTTATTACAAGTATGAACCATAGTTTGTTATTGAAATTTTAATAATTTAGAGTCTATAATTGTTATTAATATTCTTTTGGGTCCCTGATTGACATTTTCTCTAATTACTATATCTCAATTTTTAGGTGAAATCACGATTATTAGTTTAAGATTAACTTGTTAATATTTTTTATATTTTATATTGATGATCATTAAAAGAATCATTTAATTGAAAATTTACGTGATAGAATTTATGTCAAATTACAGCTATGAAATGTGTTATTTAGGTTTGAACATGTGCACACAGTTTTACTTTAACTTTTGCGCGATCAATCAATGGGTCTCAGTTTCTTGAAGCCACTTAGCGACCCATATTACAAAGCTACTAGTTTGGGTGTTTTGTTTACCAAGTTTTCATCTTTGTTAGTTGATTCAAGAGAATACAACTGTTTACAAACCTCCATTATTTTCTAAGAAACAATGGATTATCTTTTCCTCACAAATCAAAATCATGCTCCATATTCCACCAGCTCCTTTGCAAGTTTGAATGAAGGGAGGTTTAAAAGTATTTCTTACTCAGCTTACTGGGTTCACTTCTTTGGCATTCACATTTTCACATAAGATCAGTTAGCAAGATGATTTCCTTCTTATTGTAGTTATGGCTATCTTTTTGCAATGTTTTAAAAACTGGACCAAACAATGAATAGAAAATATCAGTTAGCAAGATGATTTAACTGGTTAGGTAGGTGGTTAAACCAGTAACATAATAATTAAATAAAAAATAATATTTACATACATACATGCATGCATGCATACATACATATTAAAAAATAGATCAAAGCGGTTCAACCGCTCTGAGTCTCGAGTTTTTCCTCCAAATCTTCAAGAATTGCCTGGGTCAAAGTGGGCCAATCGAGATCAACTATCATAACAGGTCAAATGGTTGAACCAAACCACTTTCTTCTTCTGATGATGGTTCAACCTATATGACCCTCCAAGTCGATTCAGGTCTGAAAATAATATCCTTTTGTTGTCGTTGTCATTTTTACTTTGTGTTAGTTGTGTGCTTTAATTTGATTAGGCTTGTCTATGTTTCTGGGTTGTATTTTCCATGTGGCTGAGTTGTTTTTTTTTTTTAATCACATCCCTATGTGCCTAAGGTTAAAAAAGGCTAGTTGGATACTAAGGGAAATTGAAATTGAGATTAATAGTTAGCAAATCAATATTCGAATCCTTGTGTGGAAAAGTACATTTAGTGTTCAACCAAATCTCAAATAGAATTTCCTCTAAAAGGAGGATACATGTGAGTAATAAATAAAAGTTAGTTATAATAAAACTTACACCTAAAAGGAATTGAACTATTTAATTACAGTGTATTGTTTTCACTACCAAATTTTTGTTTTAGCATAAAGAGTAAGCTATATCAATAGTGGAGATTATCTCTCATAAGATATTGAAGATAAATAGTAAATCTCTCCCAACTAAGTTGTTAGATATACCAAGATTGAGATTCAAACTCTCAATCACTTATTTAAGCAATGAGAGGCCCCACCACTAAAAGTAAAATTACCACCCATTAAGGATACAAAATAGCAGAGTCAATAGTAATTTAGGCTAGCATGAATAAGCCCAAAAAAAATTTAGGGCAAAGCTTACAAAATATTAATTTTTTTAATGTTCTATTTGGGTTGCCTCAAGTAAACCTAAAAAGCTTGGTGTCAAGTCCAATCAAGTTTAGGCTTGGCCCAAATATCTGAACAAATTTTTTAGGGAAAAATATATAATATATTAAATATTAATTAATTCTTTAAATTTTAGTTCATTTAAAAATAAGAAACCATATATTTGAATACATTATTATATATATTTTTTAAAAAATATGTTCACATTATTATATTTTTTATATTTTTAATCTATAAAATACCTAAAATTAGTATTTAAAATAAATTATGTAATATCATGAATTTTAATATCAAGAACTAGTTGCTAATCAGAAGTAAATTAATAATTAGTGGATTGATTGTGGTTTGAAGGTTGAGTTAATGTTTTGTATTGTTTGGATGTTATATTAATAGGATTGAAGGGTAGAAAGGCAATTTAGGACATAACGCGAGCACAAGTGATAGTTTTCTCATTGTGCCATGCGTCGTGGCGGAAGCTGCGTGCACTGTGGGGCATTGTCTAGGGATCACTTAAAGCTGACATGATTAGCTCATGAAATCAGAAGGAGAGGTATTAGGAAACATAGTTGGAGAGGAGAAGAGGTTCTCATTTGCTAAGGCGAGTCATATATGGTGGTTTGGAGTCTGCTTCAATTAATAACCTGTTGGGTAAGTATTGCGCAATCCCAAACTTCATTTCTACCCCTTTTTTATTGAATTTCATCAGTTGAGAAATCAAATCATGAAGTTCTGAGGTATTGTAATCTAAAAGAAAGGGTTAAATGTGCTATCGAATGTAAAACAAAAGTTTTGCGACTAGTATGGATTTAAATGGTTAAGCTTTAAGGATTTAGGCTCTTTTAGCCTAAGGAAGTTGGGGTTAAATGGTGAAATTGGTTGAATAAATGAGTTAGGAAGTTGTTATGGTTGTTTGAGCAGTCTATAAGGCTAATGACTATAAATAATGGATAAGTGAATTCAAAAGGGTTCAATTAAACTGTTTTATGTGTTAAGGGATTCAGTTTAGCCGAGTCAATGCTTGTGAAAAGTGTTGAGAATTAATTAAGGGGCACTGTGTTATGTAAATTAAGCACTTGTGAAGTTGCTCGTAAGAATCTATACCCCTAGGAGCTTAGTGTGGTTAGTAAGCCTTAGCAGCAAGGGTTAAAGGTAACTGAAGTAACCTTTTTACTTGTTTGTTTGTGAAATTATATGCAAGTATTTTAATATAACTTTGTGCATTGTGTTATGAACTAATAGAGTAGTAGCATTATGAAAGTATATGCTTGTGGGTGTGTGAGTATTGATTGAAATTAATTTGAGGTGGCATAATGCATTGACATGCATCACATTCGTGAGAATACCCTGGATTATGGTAGGGGGACACAACCCCATTGTGAGAAGGTCCAAGAAGTCCTTATGATCTGGAGCATAGAGCTTGACTCTGCCAAGACGGACCTAAGAGAAGAATCTTTATAATCTAGAGCGTAGAGCTTGACTTTGCCACAATGAACATAAGATATTGAATTATTCATGAGATTACCTAGACTAGGGTAGGAGGTCGTGGTCCTACTTTGTATAAGGCTAGGAAGTCTTTATGATACAGATCGTAGAGTTTAACTCTGCTATGACGAACCTAGGAGACCACCCATACGTGAACAGGATTACTTGGTCTGGGGAGTGGTCTGGTGGGCCCTATTCCTTATGACTGGAAGTCCTGGTCTAAATATAGAGATTACTCTGCTAGGTGGAACCAAGATTGCATTGCATGAACGTAATGAGATTAATGAGAATGACTTCTTGTATATACATATGATATTGTTTTTATTAATGCACATGCTACTTTATTGCTTGTTTATTATGATTTTTCTTACTAACCGGTAATTGGGGTTACCTTTGAGTTATTGAGACTTATATCTCACTCTATTACTTTTGAACATAGGTAAAGAGAGCACAAGAAGTTGGGGAAAGGAATTGAGAAAATAGTAGCCTCACTTGGTAGTG